TTCCTTCCTTCCTTCCTTCCTTCCTTCCTTCCTTCCTTCCTTCCTTCTTTATTGGCCAAGCGTGATTGGACACACAAGGAATTTGTCTTTGATGTATATACTCTCAGTGTACATAAAAAGAAAAGATACATTCGTCAAGGATCATACTGGACCTTTGCAATGATGCTGGAGAAATTTTCTTCCTCTTATGTGCATGGACAGTCTGATTCCTTTAGCCAAGTAACCAACCACAAGAGGTATCTTTTGCCTGTAATAGAAACTTCTCTTCTCCATCATAAATGAGAATATACAAGCTAGCAAGTAGCTGGCTGTTTTAATACGCCCCCTGCTGGTTACAGGGAGCTCCTTCCACCCTTGATGTCCTCAGGTTGTTCTCGCACCTGGGAAGGGCAGCTGAGGAAGGCTACTTCCATATTGAACTATGAACAATATGCACCTTTGCAGAGTGCTGAGACAAGGATTTTTTGAACAAGGGAAGAGAAGATGACAGTTTTTCCAGCTTCAAACCAGTTTTGAACGTGGGAATGATGTAATGATTTTGCTCTAATGATAAGCAAGGTGGAAGACCAGAGAACTGTGTAGATTAGAACACTGGGATCTAATACGCTGAATTTAGGATTAGCAGCCTGGGACCATTTATCTGGTAGGAGAATATTATGAATGACCAACATCAGAATCACAAATGTGTAAAATTACAATGCAGTGCCTTGATGGGACAAGAATGAAGGTTCTTTATGTTTTGTGTTTATCTGTGGCAACTTTAAAAAAAAAAAGTCGATGTTGCACAAGGTTGTGAAGTTCTAAGCTTGAGGAATCGCATCCAGGTTAGCAGACGACCGTATTAATGGCAGGAGAAAGAGGAACGTTTTTTTTAAAAAAAGGAAACTTAAGAAAGTAATGATGACGCTCGACTAACTTTGAAAATCACTGATAACATTTCTTAAAGAAAAAAGCTAAAAAAATGAATGTATCACTCAGCTATTTCCGGTAATGTCTGTTCCATTTGACATTCAGTTATCATTGTTAACGTCTTCTGCACTTTTGTTCGTGAAATATCATTGATTAGATGATGAACTATTATTTTAACAATGGTTATTTTAACAATGGGCTCCTTGATTTTCACACTTCAAAGAGATCAGTCCTGCCTGTGTAAATATTTGGTTCTGTCTCTGTCATTACTGATTAAATAATCAGATCTAGTGATTTCCCATTCTTCAGATTAGTACATTTCCAGTTTGGTCATACTCTAGAAATGTAGACTTCATTTCCTCAAATTTCCAAGCTAATATGATCTTTTCCGAGAATACCTGAAGTTGAAGTTCATACATCTGTATTTTTTCTTTTATGTACACTGAGAATATTTGCACCAAGACAAATTCCTTGTGTGTCCAATCACACTTGGCCAATAAAAGAATTCTATTCTATTCTATTCTATTCTATTCTATTCTATTCTATTCTATTCTATCTGGGGTCTCTAGGCTAAGATAATCTTATACATACTTAACAATTTAATGATAATGATGATCTGTTAAACTTGTGTGCTGCCTAACTTCCAAAGGCTCTTGAGTGGCTCACAATGATCAAATGAAGAAATAACAATAAAATCAATAAAGATGACAAGCACAACAGATAGAATGAAACCTGAGCCCTATCTAACAAAATGAAACTCAATGTAGAGAAAAGTAAAGCCTTACACTTAGGCAAGAAAAACCAAAAGTACACATATAGACTGGTGAAACCAGGCTCAATAGCAGAAACTGTGAGAGGGATCTTGGAGTCTTAATGGACAACCAGTTAAATATGAACCAACAGTGTGCGGCAGTAGCCAAAAAAGCCAACACAATCCTACGTTGCATTAACAGAGGGATACAATCGAGATCAAGTGAGGTACTAATACCACTCTATAAAGCCTTAATAAGACCATACCTAGAATACTGCATCCAGTTTTGGTCACCACACTATAAAAAAGATGTTAAGACTCTAGAAAAGTTGCAGAGAAGAGCAACTAAGATCTAGGGGACTAAAGGCTAAAACATATGAAGAACAGTTACAGGAACTGGACATGGCTTGTCTAGTGAAGAGAAGGACCAGGGGAGACATGAGAGCAGTCTTCCAATATTTGAGGGGCTGCCTCAGAGAGGAAGAAGTCAAGTTATTTTCTACGTCACCTGAAAGCCAGACAAGGAATAATGGATGGAAACTGAACAAGGAGAGATTCAACCTGGAAATAAGGAGAAATTTTCTGACAGTGAGAGCAATCCACCCATGGAACAGAAGTTGCCTTTGGAGGTTGTGGAGCTTCATTTCTAGAGGCTTTCAAGAAGAGACTGGACTGCTCCCTGTCAGAAATGGTGTAGGGTCTCCTGCTTGGATGGTGGGTTGGACTAGATGACCTATAAGGTCCCTTCCAACTCTGTCATTGTATTCTGTTCTAAGATCTATCTATCTATCTATCATCTGTTATCTATCTGTATTTTATTGCTTTTAACTTTGTAAGCCGCCAGACTTGCCTTGTGACAAGGAGCAAACAGGTTTAATAAATACATATATAGTGGTAGTGAGACTTGCAGTATTTTTCTGCAGTGTGCATCATACAGTGCGTGCTTGAGGGAAAGCAGAAGCATAGAAAAAGCACCAATTCAAAACATTCCTAGCAACAGTAGACTGTTCTTGCCTTTAATAGGATAGGTCTTGGGTTCAAGCCCCAGAGAAGCCCTCTTGAAGAATATTAGGATGATTCTGTGCTTGAGGACAATCCGTTTTTATCACAAAGCATATAACCATCCTATCTTCTAGCCCCAATATATTTTTTTTTAATTAAAAAAACCTCTCTGATAGCAGGGTAGAAGATGACTGTGTCTTTGGACAACTGGTCTAATCTGAGAAGCCACCACTGATATGATGTTCATAAAAATCTTGACAATGGATCATCATTCTTTAGAGAGCCATTCTGTATTGCCTGCTCTGAAAACCCATTTAAAGATTCCAGCATAACTTCATGGACAATTGGAAATTAATCAACGTTTTTGTGGTATTCTTCCACTTCGTACCAATAGAAAGAAATCTGTTTTCAGTGTTGCTCAAAAAGCACACGAATCATTTATTGGCTGGAAACGGTCTTTGTGGAATAGATTTCTCCAAATAGTTTTAGCCTGGAACTTCATGGTGATTTTAGGAAATCTATACCCTTTATCTTAGTCTCAACAGGAAAACGTTTTGCAAGAATTTCATCCGCCGCATTCAATACGGAAGAAAAGCACATATTTTAGGTAGATTCATTCAGAACTTTGGGTCCGTAGCCTGTCCTGAAGACATCAAGAATCTTGTAATTGTATCAATCCCCAAACAATAACAACAGTTGTAAAATATCACAAAACCTCTATTTCTATGCTTCTGTTTCTGTAAATGATATGGGGATAAACAATTCAAAGGGGAATGGAGTTTGTTTGGTTGTTTGGTTTGTGGGTTTCTTGGTTGACCATCTCAGTCAACGACTCTGGATGGCTTATAATTCAGAAACTACATTTTCTGAAGTACAAAATATAAGATACATAAACAATATATAAAGTATTGCCAAAAACATCATTTCTCTCAGTGGCTGATAAGGAAAGTTTTCAAACAGAGACTCTCCAGCAGATATCCATACCCGAATAAGTTTGTAATAGGACAGTTCCTCAAAAGGACACTTGAACAATAGAGAGTTTAAAAGTTTTTTAAAAAAAAAAAAAAAAAATCTTGCTTGATCCTGGAAATTGATAGATACCTAATGTAAATCTTTCAGTCTATGTAAATTCTGATTGCAAATATTAAGACAAAATACACATGTTTGAAGCCTTTTCTAAGTCAAGATTATAATTTAAACCTTTGTCTACCCCTTTTCCAATCATTGATAGAATGGCCCATGGTAGCTGTTGCAAGGGACATATTGGGAACAAGGAAAGAGCTGATATTTTTTTTCCCCCCAAGAGTTCATTGCACTCCAAAATAAAGATAGAGACCACTATACTACTATGGTAAAAGTTCCCCTCGCAAATACGTACTAGTCGTTCCTGGCTCTAGGGGGCAGTGTTAATCTCTGTTACAAAGCCGAAGTGCCCGGTTTTCCGAAGACATCTCCATGGTCATGTGGCCGGCATGACTAAACGCCTTCGAAGGCGCACGGAACACTGTTCCCTTCCCACCAAAGATGGTCCCTGTTTTTCTACTTGCATTTTTACATGCTGTTGAACTGCTAGGTTGGCAGAAGCTGGGACAAGTCACGGGAGCTCACTCTGTCACGTGGCGCTAGTGATTCGAACCGTCAAACTGCTGACCTTTCTCATCGACAAGCTCAGCGTCTTAGCCACTGAGCCACCACGTCCATATACTACTAAAGAGACCACTAAACCACTACAGCTTTTATAGAAATTTGTCCTTGGAAATTTGTCCAGGTATCCAGGCCAGGGAGCAGGTATAAAAAAGTTAAGATGTTGGCCACACAGTCAAAAGCCCTCCTCCCCCCTTGTTATATTTGTTGCACACACCATGCACATCAAAAGAGAGGAGACACTCTTGGTCACTCAGTTGTGGTGGCCATTTTGACTTTTGGGGACACCTCCTCCTCCTCCTCTCACAGATGCACGTCATCAGGACTTTGGAACTTGATATTGTCCGCCTTGCTTTGCAAAGTAATTTGGAAGATGCCAATGCTTTGTTTCTCTCCTTCGCTGCAGGAAAATACACCCTGTTATGTGAAGTCTCAGAAGGTCTAGGTGGTAGAGCTCCCGGAGAGGAGATGCTTGTGGGACACTCAGGTAAGGTGCTGACCTTTTGATGGGAAGGGCTGCTCATGTTGTAGACATCTGGCCTATGTTGCCAAGGATCAAAATATGGGTTGATGGCCTTCTTGTTTTTGCTAGCTTTATTCTCCAGCAGGATAAAACCACTTCCTGGATGAGGAATTGGTGGTGGGAAGTGGTGGAAGCAAAACACTGGGGTCATAAGAAAGTCCCATGGAGTCTTGCAGCAGCCACAAGGTGCATGCTCTCAGTTCAGAAATGAAGAGGAGCTGCTGTAATCTATGGTGGCATTTCTCAACCTTGGTAACTTCAAGCTCTATGGACTGCAACTCCCAGAATTCCCCAGGCAGCTCTGAATTCTGAGAGTTGAAGTCCATACAGGCTTAAAGTTGCCAAAGTTGAAAAACACTGATCTGTGGCAAGCTTTGGATGTGGTCATTAGCTCTCCCTCCATGATGTTGAGCTGTCATTTGTGGCCTGCAAGAGAGGGAGTTTCTCATCGTTAAATAAATGGAACAGCGTGATTTGTTGGACATGATAAAGGATCCTCATTTCTAGGTAACAACAGAGGAATGGAGAGAAACGAGCATAAAAACCTACAGTTCATCCCAGCTCGTAAACATAATGAGAAATGATGGCTAAGTTTCATTTACTGGAGCAGAAGAGGGATGCTTGGTGCTCTTTGAGCTTGGTGGTTTTCTTGCAGATGGTGCATTACCTAAACTAGGTAACAATAGCACTTAGACTTCTGTACCACTTCACAGTGCTTCACAGCCCTCTCTAAGTGGTTGACCATGTCAGTCTCTTGCCCCCAACAATCTGGGTCCTCATTTGACCGACCTCAAAAGGATGAAAGGCTGAATCAATCTTGAGCTGGTCAGGATCGAACTGCTGGCATTTGGCAGAATTAGCCTGCAATACTGCATTCTGACCACGGCGCCACCATGTCTCTTACTATTGCCATGGCATTCTTTGGGTAATGAGACATTTGCAAGAAGCTGAAGAAGCTTCTTGGATGAGAAGCAAAACGCCTTCAAGGAAAAACAAAGTCCAGTTTCCTGTTTGAAAAAAAGATACCTTTGGGTTTGACAGAAAACACAAGCTCAGAGAGCACCAAGGAACCCCTCAAATCAACCTTGAGCTACAAATATTCTTCCTGATCATTGACTTGAGGAAACTTTGGCTGAATTTCAGGATGCTCCTTGTTTCCTGTTAGGATCCTTTCCCAGAACTGAGTCTACAAAGTTAGTGGCTGTACTCTGATGTGATTGTCATTGTTGGTCAATGGAGGTGCACAAATTCACACACCTTTGCTCAGTGTGTGAGCTGGGGCACTGAGGGTTGTCTACAACGTATGCAGAGTTGAACCACAACATTCTTGTTACAAGTTAAAAGTAGCATCTGTTATCAGAAAAGCTACCCTAACAGAATGCAGATTTTTTTTCTTCAGGATCCAGTCAAATGTTAACTCCTCTAACTATGTATTTAAGGCTGTTCTGCTACTTGATCTGTTCAAGTGGAGATGCTAAAACTTCAACCTGTATGTGAATCTCATCTTTTGGCCCCTCTGCTAGGCATGCAAATTGGTTGATGAGCTTCAGAGCTTTTGGAAGAAACTTCTTGCTGCCAGAGATGATAGAAGTAATTGATTCCCTTCAGGCTCTGTGAAGTGGCCTCTGATTGTCCAGAGAAAGCTTTAATGCCTGGCTCATGTTTACCTGCTGATTTGTCTTTTCCCTGCTGTTCTATTCTATTTATTTTGCTCTCAGTTGAAAAAAAAAGAAAAGAAAATATTCTGCAGACCAAAACCTGTTGATTTCTAGGATAAAAGACCAATTGACTGAAATCTGAATAGATGCAATTGTTGGGAATGAAGGGAGAATAACCTCTGATCCAATTGTCCAGCCTAGCTGTTCTCCCACTCCAGATAATGTGATCTACCTCCACATTTGTCTGCAAGAGAATAGGCTAAAGACAAGGGAAGTCCCCTTGTTTGCTTAATACCATTACCGTTGTATAACGTATGAAAGTAATGTTAGTTAGTATGACCTCACAGAAAGCGACATGGAAGTTTGGAAGCAATTTCCAGCAAAGGTCAATCATGAGTTTAAACATGCTTGAGATGAACACATGTCTATCATCTGACACAATTTTTAAAAACAAAAATAAACAATAATAAACCATCAAACATGCATATTTGTCTATCCCGGGTCCTTGGAAAGGACTTGAGAAGTAGGCGAAAATGCCAAACGCAGTCTGAACACCTGGCTGACTCTGTGAGGAGCCAAAAATAAATAAAATAATAAAATAAAATGAATAATAAAATAAAATATCCCCAAGAATTAAAAGTAATAAATAAATTGAAACAAACAAACAAATGAAAATCACAATAGGCCAGCCCTGATGGACGCTGGGACCCTTTTTCTGCCTTGAATTTTCTGTGTTTCTGTCCATTGCCAAGAAGACTCATGTTCAAGCCATCTCTTGGTTTATAGAGAACCACGGTGGCACAGTGGTGAGAGTGCAGTACTGCAGGCTACTTCTGCTGACTGCCGGCTACTAGCAGTTTGGCAGTTCAAATCTCACCAGGCTCAAGGTTGACTCAGCCTCCCATCCTTCCAAGGTGGGTAAAATGAGGACCCAGATTGTTGGAGGCAAGAGGCTGGCTCTGTAAACCCTTAGAGAGGGCTGTAAAGCATTGTAAAGTGGAATATAAGTCCAAGGGCTAGTGCTATTATAGGAGCTAACTGGGTGACTCTGGGCCCATCATTCTCTCTTAGCCCAAGCTCCTTCCTAGGGAAAAATAAATAAATGTAGACTGCCTTTTACTCTTCAACAAAACTCAGGGTAGAAAAGTGAAAAACAACTGGTTAAAAATGGAGGTGAGGTGAAGGCACCTTTATCTTTGTGTGGCTGGATATTTTTCTTTGGATGAGTTTGCACCAAATGTTACATGGAAGGCATGATGGAGTGCAGAGCATGGTGTCAGCGTTCCAGCTAACCACCTCCAACCCAATAAACTCTGAGACAAACAATCCCTCAAAGTTCCATTTTATTAGAGTTGTCATATTGGTACATCTGGGAAAAACCCGAACCTGAAAGTTCCGGGTATTCCCTTCCCAAAAGAAAATTAAAAAAAAAAATCTCTCCCCTGAACCCACCAGTCCATCACATGGCCCAACCAGATCTTCATCCCTCTTGGAGACAATCGTTCATTCACTCCTCTCCAGGTGCAGGGCAACATGTCCTTGACTCTCTGAGAAAGAGTGTTGTTGTGTCTAATCTTCCACCTCTCTATGAAATCCCCCCTCCCAAATTCCCGGGCACTAAACTTGGCAGCCTGGAAGCATCCAAGTAAAAAAAAAATGGCTTCCAAGGCTGACACATGGATCTGAACCTCAAGGACCATCAATGCCTCAGAGAGCAGAGTCCTTGAATTTGATAGGAAAAATGCAGCGAAGGATCACCAGCTATATACAAAAAAACTGAACTGTTCAAGGAAATGAATGTGTAGATCCTGGTTGACTAAACATTGACTAAAGATGGGAAGGCAGGTGGAAAAATGTATGCGGCAAAGTTTACAGGTGGCCTTACAAATACATTTCGGAATGGGATTTTGATCACTAAGCAATAAGGATATTAAGCGAATCGTGATGCCACCCAATCAGATTTTTTTTCAACCATTTTACTGCAGTCATTAAGCAAAGGACACAGTCATGAAGTGAATCCAACTTCCGTTCCTCCCTTTGATTTTGTTCATTAGAAGTCAGCTGGGTAGGTTGCCCCCATGACCCCATGACTGCAAAATGCTTTCGTCATTGTAAAAGACTTAAGCCTGGTGACCAGCACCTGAATTGTGATCCCTTGCCCACAAAGAGAGAGCAGTGGTCATAACTCTGAGGATGAGTCGTAAAGCAGTGATGGGATTCAGCCAGTTCGCATGGGTTTGGGAGAACCGGTTGTTAGCTTCCTGAACGGTTTGGTGAACTGGTTGTTGGAAGAAATCATTAGGGCGAAGAACCAGTTGTTAAATTATTTGAATCCCACCACTGGTCATAAGTCACTTTTTCAGTGTCGTCATAACATTGAATCATTGTTAAACAAGTCGAGGACTACGTGAATTTAAGCTATCAATGAAGGCATAAAAAGGCAACGATGTGGAGAATCAAATGTCCTTTTTTGTGAATGTTATTCTGGGGATTGCAAGGCGACCGCCTGCAACTGGTTGGGAATATTCTTTTGATCCATCCTTTTATTTGCTTTGAAACTTCCAAGTTGTTCTTGGTAACAATGATGTAACCCGCAAGCTTTGACAAGTTACTACTATCCCCAAAGTGGTATTTTCCACTACACTGGCTCCAGAATACGTAATATAATTGGTTCCAGATCTACATGCCAGGACTTGAGTTTGTAGCATGAGCTGCCATTGATGGGAGTCAGAGAGCCCATAAATAGAATAAGTTCAGGAAGACACCCAGGAGATGCTGAGCTGTGTGTTTCTTTGACGCAGTAGCCCTGTGCAAGCTAATACTCTGAAGCTCCAGGCAAATCCCAATGCCAGCATAGCACATAGGACAGGGGTTCTGATGCAGTTTTTAACCTTGAAGCTGCTCTATGGCATCTTAATCTTAATCCATATTTGCAATCCAAATGTTCTCAGGTCATTTCAACCCAATGGTTGAAAATACGTGGAACAGAACAGAGTAACAAAGTTAGAGGAGGCCTCGGAGGTCTTCTAGTCCAACCCCAATATACCATGGGAATGGGACCACTTGCCACAGCCAACTCGATGTGTCATGGCCAACTGACCACAGCCAACTTGTTGCAGGACAGCTGACCACAGCCAACTTGTTGCAGGACAGCTGACCACAGCCAACTTGGCATGGGACAACTCACTGTGGGACAATTTAACAATTCTGTTTAATTGTTTTAAAAACTTTTTTTTAAAAAAAAAAAAACAATAATATTTGCCATTCACATTTCATTCTGTCCCTTCTTTTGCATGATTTCTTTAA